CGGGTTATCAGCTTCACTCAGTCCACCAACTCAATGCTAATCTCTTCCAGGCACACTCTCATAGACACATCCAGAAATAACTTACTCAGATATCTGGGCACCCAGGTGGACACATAAAATTAACTATCACAAACATTATTTATCTCAATTACTAAGCTTTTTTGGCACTTCCTAAGTTTTGCACTGAAGATCAGAGGGGCCCTGGACTACCTGAAGCCCAGCCCTGGCCAACAGATGCTGTGTTATCATATATGGGAATCTTACGTAGTCCAAAATCTTTTTTTAATAGATTTTATTTATTTATTTATTGATGAGAGACACACACAGAGAGGCAGAAACACAGGCAGAAGGAGAAGTAGGCTCCATGCAGGAAGCCCCATGTAGGACTTGATCCCCAGACCTGGGATCACACCCTGACCCAAAGGCAGAGGCTCAACCACTGAGCCACCCAGGTGTCCCAACACAGTCTAAAATCTTAAGAGACATTATTGAACACTGACTGAGTGTTGGGCATTGGGTTCAGCTCCAGGGTTTGAATAGTAGGCAAGACAGTAAGCCCCTGCCCTCGTGAAAATTACTGTTCAGCAAGAAAAACATACACCAACAATCAAGGTGATGGTTGTTATGGAGAAAGTACAAGAAGCACGGGCTTCCTACAGCAGGAAGCAAAGGGTCAGGGAAGTCCTCTCTGCATAAAGGATATTTCACGTCAGTCCTAAGAGATACACAGGAATTGTCTAGATTAAAGAAGAGGTAGAGAGCAGGTGAGTGGCACACAGGCAGAAAGAATAGCACACAGAGAAGCCTGGAAGCAAGGAAGCCTCTTGTTGGACAGACAGTGAAAGAGGGTCAGCACATGTGAAGCATGAAAACCATCTAGCTAGTTATAAAATAACTGCATCCTGGAGATGCATGGACACCATGGTGACTCTAGTTAGCCCTACTGTGTTGTATATTTGAAATTTGCTAAGAGAGCACATCTGAAAAAGTTCTCATCCCAAGGAGAAAAAACAAATGTAGTACTCAGTGCTGAAGGATGTCAACAAGATTTAGTGTGGGGATTGTTTCACAATACATATAAACATCAAATCATTATGTTGGACATCTGAAATTAATGTTATCTGTCAGTTATATCTCAAATATAGAGGAGGGGAGGACTCTGAAAGTCACCTTACGTGTTCAGAACTTCATCCACGGAACAATGAGAAATCCTGAAAGCGTTTTACGTCGAGAAGGGACAGCATAAGATTCATGCTTTGAGAAATCAAAATTTGGAGATGATACCAGAAGAGGGAGATATGTATATTGCGATGGTGCAGCCAAGAGGGAAGGCGCTCAGAACCGCAGTCATGGTAGCAGGGTTACAGAGAAGTAGAAAAATGTGAGACATTCATAGGCAAAATAATCAGGATTTGATGACTCTTTTAAAGGAGTAATGAGGTAGAAAAAGGCATCAACTATGATACCTCGATTTCTAGCTTGGGCAACCGAGTGGTTGACAGAGTCATTTCCTGGAGAGCGGGCACATTAATTAAGTAGCCCTAGCTGTATACACAATAGAAGTTGAGAACTGAAATGATTCTGTATGCTACTTACTGCATTTATGTACTCCCCAAAGACGAATCAGATCCTTTTAGACAAAGAAAGTTTGTTTAAAAATAGAAGTCAATTACATAAGTTGATTGTTATACCAGGTGATAAGGAATTACAAGTTGTCATTAATCATTTTGAAAAGAAAATAAGTGATATAAGATTTGGCAGTGGCGCATAATACAGTAACAGAACAACAATAGATGGATCTTGAAAGTGTGGAAGTTCATTTCCTTTTAATTCATCCAGTTTATGTGGCTGGGCTTATTCATACATTCTGTAAGCATAGGTTTTTGAGAGGCTTATCCTAGAAAAAAGGTCATAATTCTCAGTATTTATTTTGAAGGCGATTGGAATGATTTATTCCATAATATTGCAAATGGAGACAAAACGGCATTCTCTCTAGAGATCCTTGATATTTTCCAAATCTCGCTCAAGGATTCTCATTGTACCTTCAAAGAGGATCATGTTTATTATCTCTTATGTTGAAGGGGAGAAAAAGAACAAAGCCATTACGAAGAAAAACAAACACAATCTCACCTTGGGTTTTATGTATTTAAAAACATCTATAGCAGTACATTTGCTCCCAAATTACCCATAGGCAGAAAGATAGTACCAGTGGCAATAACACAGGTTTTCAATCTCCCCCACAATGATAGACAGAACAATTGAGACAGCAAAGCAAAAACCCATGGACAACATCTACAACAGAAATGACAGGGTACTCATTCCCATAAGCAGGAGGGGTCAAAGCACTAGCAGCATCAAGATGTGTCATGGCAAGTACAGGAGGAAGCAGGAGGACAAGGGACTTTCAAAGAACAGCTCAGGAATGGAATTACCAACAGCTAGCCAGCCACTCACAAAGGAAAGGGTCGACTGAGCACAGAGAGCTCTTCAGGCCAATCAGGCAAGAGCAACCAAAGCAAGGAAGGGGCATTACCAGCTCCAGACACCCCACAAACCCTCTGATTGCTCAGATCACAGTGCATTTAAAAGGATGATGGGATGAGCACTGGGTATTATACTCTATGTTGGCAAATTGAATTTAATTTTTTTTTAATGTTAAAAAAAAAAGAAGTCTTTGTAACTCGAAAAGCTAACATTCACCATGAAGTTGTAACAGGCATTAATATTTCTGCACCCAATACTTGACATCATTTTTATAAAGTGGAGACTATAGGAAATCCCCAGACTGAAAAGAAACTGGGGTGCATTGGATGCAAATGAAACAGACCAGGGACACTAAAGTCTGAGAGACAAAGAGAGAGAGAGAGAGAGAGAGAGAGAGAGAGAGAGAGAAGGCAGATCATGATGAGAGGGGGAGCAAAGATAACATATCTCAGAAAGGTAAGTCCAAGGAGCCAAACACACCACCATAACAATAGAAATTGGAGCCATAGGGCATGGAAGCAAGGAAAGATATCCAGGGCACTCTCCCCTCTACGAGCACAGAAAAACTACGAGCAATAACAATGGTTGTAGTTGAATCCATATGCTGTTTTTTTAAAGAAAAATAAAATATAATAATTGACAGAGAACACTATTCCTATAGACAGTGAAATCCAACAATAAAGATATGACCATAAAACAATAAAAACCTCAAAAAAAAAAACAATAAAAACCTCAACTCAAGAGCTCCAAATGAGTGAAGAGAATTTGAGAAATGTTAGGAGCTATGGAAGAATGCCATAAGACAGGAATAGAACATGAGATGATTGGATGAAAGAAAAAAGCTTGAAAAATGAGCTGAGAGAGTTTGAGAATCAAAAGCAAAGGGAAAAAATCATTTCAGAAAGGAACAAAAGTGCGGAGAACACAAGCTCAAATCTGCATCATAAGAAAAGAGAAAATAGAATGGACAGAAAATAAAAAACAGAAACAAAATAAAGAACAAGATTAAAAGTATTAGAAAGATTATTCAAGAAAATGTTGCCAATATAAAGAAGATCTGAATCTACATATTTAAAGGGCACAGAGGATCCTGAAAAATCAGCTCAGAATGGCCCAAAAATGAGACACATTTTAGCAAATCTATTGAACTCAAATAAAGTGGGGGAAAAAAAAACAACCCAAACATCTTTTAGACATCAAAGCAAAATGACCAAGCCCCTCATTAGAGACAGAATATAGACTGACATTAGACTTTTCAATAGCAACACTTTATGCCATAGGACAATGGAGTAACATTTATATTACAAGAGGTAAAAAAAAAAATGTGGGCAAGGATTTTGTATCCAGGAAAAGAGACATTCAACTTTAAAGCCATATAAAAATCCATGAATATGTAAGCAGTCAGGCAGTGCTGTTCTCATGTGCCCCTTCTGAGAAATCCACTAGAAATGACTCAGACAACCATTTGGTTGAAGAATTGGCATGATGTCTGGTTATGAACCCTGAATATGTATTTATGCATAAAACTAAGTGAGGGTCATAAGAAAGCCAGTATACAATATAGTTGTTATATGATACAGCACAACTATAAATAATTATAATTCAAATTTTTCTTTAAAAAGCAATCCCTATAAATCAAAGCAAAATGAAATGAAGAAACCTAATGGTTCATCCATTTGGTGGCATAGCACAGTAAGAGGAAGTACTTCAAGTGACTGAAATATGCCAATCTGGTGACACATCCCTAGCAATATGGACCCTGAAAAAGACAAAATAAATTTTGAACTATGTTTAGTAATAATATTGGCATTGCTGTTTGTAACTATTATATATTCTATAGGAAAAAAAAACAAATAATTCTGTGGATGTTCTTAGGAATGAACCAGGATTTTCAGCATAAGGAAAAATAAAAGATAAAATTGAAGAACTGTTAAAAGGCTATAATCTAAAATTTCAGTTGGAAGTGTAAATATGAACTAAGAGTATAATTTAAAAAACATATAAATATATGAGGCGCCTGGGTGGCTCTGACTCTTGATCTCAGGTCAGGTCTTGATCTCAGGATTGTGAGTTCAAGTCATGCTGAGCTCCATGCTGGGTGTGGAGCCTACTTAAAAAAAAAAAAAACAAACCCAACTGAACAAAAATATATACATATGCACATATATGTCAGAGAAACCAAGACTTCTTGGATAAATGACTGATTCCAGGTCTCAAGCAAAAAGTGTACAAGATGAGCCTAAAATGTCTTGTAATGCCAAAATAAGCCTAAAACATCACACCAAGAGAACTTAAGAGCCCAACTGAATATCTCTAACTAGCCCACAACAGGACAATTTGAGCATCAAATAAATATTAACTGCAATGAATTGAAACATGTCAGCCATGTTTAAGTCCATTAGTCACTAATGATTTATAAAAAAAAATCTCATTGGTCACATTTGGAAGATGCTAGGGAATCAATTTGTTATTTTGAAAACTGGCGAAGGTAAAATAAAGTCAGGCAGCTATCTTACCTTACATGCTTGAACTACACTTCAGGACAATAATTGATGAGGGAAACTTGGACAGCATTGTATCTAACAAATGAAGAAAGAGTGATAAAATTAGATTATCACCGCATTGGCAAACCTTAATGAGAGAATGCATGTAGATCTAGGCAATGATCGTTAATGATTGTTGATAACACAGAAGGCCAATCAGATAACAGGTACCTCCTGATGGAAATAAACATACTCATGAAATATTACAATCCAAAGCATGAATCTAAATAATGAAGCCTCTAGATCTCATGACCCAGTTTCCAGGAAGTGCGAGGAAGAGAAATAGGTTAAGCCATATACTACAGGAATGCAATTAGAAAAGTCCAGAATATGGGAAGTTTAACAGACAAGCATTTTGGTTTCCTTAAATCAATTGTAATGAAAAACTAAAGGAGGAGAAAGGAGGAATCTATAGATAAAACAAAACAAAAGATAAAGCAGTAGCAACGACGACAAGATAAATCAATGGATTGCAATGTTTGGATGTTATTTCATATAATCAATTGTAAAAAAAAAACAATTATGAATCAGACAGATTTGAACACTAATTGAATAGTTGATAACATCAGGAAATTATTGTTCACGTTTTTGGGCTTAAGAGTTCTGGTTGTATTTTTAAAGGGTCCTTATACTTAGGGATGCATATTAACATATTTTGGGATCAAAGGAGAAGAACAGTATCATAACATTTGCTTCAATAAAACATGAACTCGCCTCAAAATAATCTAGTAAGGGAGAGAAGTATTCAGAGGCCAATATTGGCCTTGAGTTCAAACTGAGTGATAAAACCTGGGGATTTTTATACTGTTTTCTATCCTTTTGCATATGCCTAAAATTTTCCATCATGAAGAGTTTTAAAAACACTCGTGGTCATTTTTGGGTTTTGTTTGTACATTCCAAGCGGATCCCAAGCAGTCCATCTACAATGAGCATGTTAGATTAACTTTCCAGGGTATCAAGCCATTTGAAAATGGACTGAAAGTCGAAGGCTAAATCGTACTACAAGTGTGACCCACTTCCCCTGATGTGGGCGCCTGTCATTTGTCAATGAATTTTAATAGACACTAGGTGGCATAGTGATTGCTTCATACTAAGCAGGCAAAAGGAAAACGGGTTACGCTGACATGCAAAATGCCATCTCTGGCGTGGTGGCATCACTTTTTGAAATTATCCCGCCTCTTAGTACATGAAAATATCTTTTTTCACTTTAAAATGATGATTCCGCCTCTGCATTACAAGTTCCCCTAAATGTAATTTATCAAATCTTCTACTTTCCTAGTCATTTTCATTCTTGCATTTTCCCCCCATCTTTCAGTTTATTTTAACACGGCAGAGCCCTGTGGAAGAAGCTGGAATCGAAGTTTACATAGTTAAGTAGGAGGAAGAGTGTTACATTCTTCAAACTGGATTGACACCAAGTGTTCCATATGCTGTAAAAATTAATATGAAGTAGGCTTGAGCCTCTTCTCTAATATCTGCACATTGCTTCTAGCTTCTCATTCACCTGTCATTAATTGGTCCCCAATCTTGTTTTAGCTATCTTGAGGTTCCTGTCAGATGGTTTTTTCCTTTTTTTAAAAAAAAGAAAGGTTTTATTTATTTATTTGAGAGAGAGCATGTGTGAGAGGGAGAGAGCATGAGCAGGGCGAAGGGGTAGAGGGAGAAGCAGACTCCCCAAGGAGCAGGGAGCCTGCCATGGGACTAGATGCCAGGACCCTGAGATCATGACACCAGCCAAAGGCAGACACTTAACCACCTGAGCCATCCAGGCACCCCTGATTTTTTTTCTTAACCCAAATAATGTATATTCTATTTTTACAGTGCATGGCCAATTTTGGGAATCACTAAAGTTTTAATTAATGGATTATGATTCAAGTATGCAGCTTCAAAATCCATTCTTTTGGACAGGAAATAAACAACACCCAGTGGGATAGTAGAAAGAACAGTGAGTGGATTTAAATGTCTGGAGATCCGCAGTGTCACATGACATTGGTCCACTCAGTTCATTTCTCTGTGTACCAGTTTACCTCAATTCAATCTTTTATCGAATGGCCAATTCTGCACCTACTAAGTGACTGGCTTCCTGCTAAAGCAGGGAATATGGTGGTAAATGCAATGTCACATCCCCATGATGGTGTTTGGATTGAGGCCAGAAAGATGTTTTAGAGGAGTGAAGAGTAGGGGACAGGAGTGTTTGAGCAAAGCAACAAATTCAGTGGTGCTGAGAGGAGGGACCTGTGTAAGATGGACAGGCATGATTTGGAATGAAGGAAGAAGGTAAAATAGAGAGGTAGGATGCCTGGATGGCTCAGTGGTTGAGTGTCTGCCTTCAGCTCAGGTAGTGATCCTGGAGTCCTGGGATCGAATCTCCCATCATCAGGGTCCTGGTGGGAAGCTTGCTTCTCCTTCTGCCTATGTTTCTCTCTCTCTCTCTCTCTCTCTCTCTCTCTCTCTCTCTCTCTGTGTGTGTCTTTCATGAATAAATAAATACAATCTTAAAAAAAAAGAAAATAGAGAAGCATACCCGCTAAATGCAAGGATTGAACAAAACCACCCATTGGATCCTTCCAGTTCTCAATGCTTATATAATTGGGTAAGGTTGAATCAGAGAACCTTGGCTTTACCATGTATTATAACCATGATTATATGCAAATTCTTAGTGTCTCTAAGCCTCAGGATCCTAATCCATAGAATAGTGAGTAGACCTCCCTCAAGATGGTTATGGGGCTCAAATAAGGTTAGATGAAAGCCCATGCAGGTATACACGAAGCATTGTGCATAGAAATGGTAACGATTATTAGCTTATACTTTGTGCTTCTCAAAGAAGCTCCTGCATCTTCTGATTGTATTCCAACAAAATCCCTCCTGAGAGAGATTTATGAGATTTCTGGTGGAATACTATTTCCATTTTACAAATGAGAAAACATGAAGTCAAAGACGTGGCATCAGAAGTGAACGGAAGAACCCAGTCTCCTGGCTTCCTATTCAGCCTGCCCCTTTCTCCCCCATCACACAATACCCTTCAGACTATTTCAGTTTCCTTTTGAACAAATAAGAAATCTTAACGCAGCCTGGGGACTTGTATGGATTTGTTCTTCTCAGAGCTTCAGATTTCAGGTTTTCCCGTGTTGTTGTTGTTTTCCCCTATTATTTCAATAGATCCATCTTACACAGAGGCTGTTTCTCTCATGCTAAGCCTCCTTTTTGGAGTATTAAGGTTATGAATGTCCTGTCAGTCAATGACCTGTTAGAATGAAGACCAGCAAGTGTTTTTAATCATTTTTATGTGCACTCTCATCTCTTCTCTGTCATTCTTCCATTACTTGGGATTTGTGAGCGAAAGCTTTCTTTATAAGCTATCTTTCAAGAAATCAGGAAGGCTTCCACCGGAAATTGCCTCAATTGGATGACATACTTCAAATAGAAAGTCACACTATTTTACACTGTGAGCTCATCTTCTCTTGACAGTTCAGTAGAAGTAGAATCATTCCTACAGTAGTTTTTACTCAAATTGCAGATAATCAGGACAAACTAAAAGCTACCATGATGGTATGTTCTGGGGAGTGAAAAAAAGGAGAGAGTTGGGCACTGAGGAACATATTACAACAGCCTTTTGACTTCTCACCTCTCTACTATTTAAAAGTGATTAAATGGAAGTTCCTCTTTTACCTGCTGTACAATTGGGTATGTGGGTGTGACTTAACCTAGTTCTTCCTCCAGGCAAGTTTTTTAGTGGATCCAGGAAGAGGAACCAGACATTTCCTTCCTCATAGGAACTGGAGGGAATATTCAACTGATTGGTTTCCATAACTCTATCGAAGAAATATTTTTCTGCTGTTCACCTGAAATTTGCTTGGATGGTAAATTTGTAGTTCAGCTGAAAAAAGTCTCCTAAATATTAGATATCCATTTTGAGTGTGTTGACAAGTATGATAAGTTAGTTTGACTGACATAGTTGCTCTTGTTTCTCTGTATCAAACTTCTCCTCACCTTTATAAAACTTGTCCTGGTTCTTCCCACCCCAGTCACATGGGAACTTGCATAGACTCGCACCGCCATGCATCCCATAGCTATCTGTACCTCCCTGGGGTTGTGGTTGTTTGCATTCTGGTCACAGCTCTTTCTAGACTACATGCTTTCCCGAGTTAAGCGTTTGTTACCTTTGCCTCCCTGCAGTACGTACTGCGGCTCCCTGAACATAGTAGGTAGGAATCTAGGAAGTGCATGTAGAAACGAATTCTCCTACCTCAAACCTAAAGTACTTTATGTGCCAGAAAGCTGCTTCTTGGGGTGGGGTGGGGGGGATGCATTCCTTTGAAGGCTTTGGGAAAAAGATATTAACTATGATATAGTATACTTCAAATTATGGATCTTAGACTCCTCAGCTTTTAATATAAACCATAAATTTAGGCATCAAATAGTTCTTGCTACAAAAGCAGAGCTCTAAGGAAGGTTTTGGTTGTATGCTGATGATTAGGGTTGCTTTTATGATGGGAGAAATCTGTCTATCAAGAAACTCAGAGTGCTGTGTGCTGCATAATCATTATCACTCAGTACAGGGCTGTCAAAGGTCTTATTTTAAGAGTGTTTCTCTGCAAATTATCCCTGGCCATTTGCCTTGAGTAGCTATATTTCAAAAATAAAATCTTTACTGAAAAAAGTAAAGACAAAAGGGAAAAGAAATGGATACTGATGAAAGATGCCTCACTGGCAAAGATTCACAGACTAGGCACAGTGACACAGCTTGGTTTTGTAGGAATCTTATCTTTCCGTGGATGTTGGAATAATTTCTACTATAAAGTCAATTTTGCAGGTAAGATACTGTCATCAGTTGAGTTCTGTGCTACAAGCCAACCGAGGAACCAGCATGGCCATTAATTACTTAGACATAACTAAATATACACATGATAAAAGAGCTACAAACTCACATGAAATGCATACTAAAATGGTTAAAAACTTGTGATTTGTGTAATATGTATATAGTCTTTCTGTGGGGTATGCAATGAGAATGATACCACTCCTTGTGTCTCTTGACC